AACTCTACAGATAATGGCTAGCTGATGATAAATAGTAACCCAGATGTAGGATGTTTGTCACTGGTGATAAGGACATTTTAAATGATCTATTTTTCATGCTAGTTTTATTTGAACTCACTAACAAATTTGGATATTTACTTATTAAAATATGACTTTTAAAAATGCAAAAATAACTCACATATTTTAGTACATTCAACAGCTCTTATTAAGCCTTTTCAGATAAATTAACGGTAAAAGTTGTTTAAATAAACATATTAAGATCAGTTTTTAATATCCTAATTCATATAATGGTTTATTTTAATATATATAGCTTGAAAGATTATATAAAATTCCTTATAACAATATTATTTTAAAATTAAAAAAAAAWAATAATGTTTAGTCATTTAATGAATTGTGGGTTGGAATTAACCACAGGAAATGGTCAAATGAAAATTCTTAGATTCATTATATAACATAGAAATATGATTAAATTAGACCAATTAGAATATTAGAAATATTAAAATTGGGGAAATTTTACAAAAATTCTATGTTAAATTAAAATGATTTGGTTATAATGAATTTAAAAAAMTCTATTATCATTGTAGTAGATTTACCTGGCCACCAAATTGATTACATGGAAACGCAAGAATTTTTAAACCTTTGTCACGATACTTCTCATCTAGCTCAACTAACTCTTTGTAATGCTTAGATGTATAACCACATTTAGATGCTACGTTAACAATGATCAACACAGAACCTCTGAGAAACAAAAATATTACAAAGATTAGTTTTTTATAAAGAGGTGGTTTCAGTATAGTAATTCATACTTGTATTTTTCCAGCGATACATCTTCTCCCTTGATGTCTTTTACTGTGAAATCATACACAGATTTGGCATTCTTCCAATCTTCAGCCATTTTGTTTGTTATGCTACTAAGACTTTTGCTCTGAAACTAATACATACAAATAAAAACCCTAGTTAATTATACAATTTTAAGTAGGCTCTAAGACTAAAATAAGTAATAACTATGTAAATAGTACATAAAAACAATAAAAGTTATTACATAACTATCATTAATACATTAATACTTTACTTACAGGCCAATTAAAGTTTAACACCAAAGCAACTATCAGTACCAATGCAAACAAAATATTACTTGTTGAGATGTTTACCATTTTATATTTAAGGTCTACTTATAGTTTGTATATTATCAGTCAACACCTTGACCTTGAATATTACTCATAGTCATTATTTATCATTATCATGTGTAGTAACATTGTATGAACTTTTATTTGTTCTGTGTTCATAGAACAATTGTTGTAGTTATATATCACATCCATAAAGATAATATATAAATATAATGTTAATTGGAAATAACAATTTATTTATTTTGCAATTTCCATATTTATACTTTTCCATTTGAATGAATATATAATTTCTACTCATTTTGAAGTATCTATTTCTAACCTTAACTATATAGGTAGTATATTTGCCACAATAATGACCAATAACGTACAATATTATGCATCAACTATGTCATACTTGTATTAATAGAAATATAATAATATATTATTCAGGTAGTAATTACTGATGAGTATAATTATTGTCGTTATTCATTGGTATGGTTCCCATCACCATAGTAACTGTGGTTTGRGTCATCTGGTAATTTACCTAACCTATACTAATAGCTTCTATAATTCTGTATAGTAAAATAATATTTTTTTATCACAGCCATTGAAGTTTTTCTTATGAAAATTTTCTAGACTAAGCAAATCGATGCCTCCGACAACTAAATATTCTCAAAACCRCCAGATTATCAAAGCCAATACAATAATTTTTTTAATCGTTTMTAATCCTTGCGATTAAATTATGTAGATTATATTAAAAAATTTGAACGACAATAGGTATCACGAAGGAATTACGAGTGTTGCACGGTAGTCATGAATAAAAATGGTTAGTTATTAAAGGTAATTCCCAAGAACCGTGCTGAAATTTGAGTTCGCAATGAAATTCGTGGACCACTCACGAGTCAGCCGCCCTATCATCGATCAGAAATTCAGAAATCGGAAATCGGATAATGTGTGGTCCCACCCTACGACAAATGGACGTCGCGTCACGAGTGCGGTGGACAAGTCAGTTCGACCATTGCATGATAACGACGAGACCGACATAAATGACCGCCTGACGTCGAACATCAACGGCTACCTATCCAACCATTCCAACCTACGGCACCGAAACGCCCTACGATTTATTTAAAATTAATTTCTGTGCATATACTTACGATCAACGACGAGGATACGACGACGGACGACGGCAACAATCGGCGGAACAACAGGCTCATGATAGCCGATAGGCGATAACGTCAATCGTCTTGGTATTAGACGCGTCGGCAATCTCCGACCGTTGCGCGTCGGGCGGATTTCGGAGTGTTTCGCTATCTATGTTGCGATTGTCCGTTGGTCGACGGTGTTGTCCGTGAGGTGGCGCTGCCGGTTACGTGGCGGGACGTACTTTGTGTTGAAAGTTTTTAACTGACCGACGGGTATAATAATGTTTTCACCTGTATTACTATAAAAATTATAGTTGTCATTAGGCAATTATTGATAYTTGTTTGATGTTATTAATGGAAATATTTATAGAAGTGAAACATCATGAGGTGCGAGTCCATACGTGTACGAAGTCCACTCCCCACTAACAATATTATTATTAAAAAAATATTTATCAAGTTTCAACTACAAATTGTTGTCAATTAGTACAAGCAAGGACGTATAAATTCATTTTCGTCTTACCAGGTTAGTTAAACCAAATAACTAATAATATGTACCTAGGTAATAGGTTGGTAGAGTTAATTTGCAAACCAATTTTCCTAAAATTATAAGTAATTTGTTGGTAAAAGTATGAATTACTTGTGTAAAAGACCTTATATTAAATTTTCAAGTCTTAAGTGTACAAATTTAATATTTTATACTTTCTATACTACAAATATTAAATTAATTACAGTGGTTTTGTCAACATTTGTGAACTTAAAATGTTTTTAAGAAAACAAGGCTAAAATAYTAGTTTTGCTTTTTTATATGTGCGCRCGATAGGCCTAAGGTGGTTCTATTATGTCATCATCTAATCTTTTCTTTGTAAAAAAAAAAGAATTAATTTCAATTAAAAATTGTATTTATTTATTYTTTCCAATCCAAAATTAATATTTTACCGTGATCGCACTCTGATTTTTTCCAGTTGCTGATAGTCCGTAGGTAAAATRCYAATCTGATCCGTGGTAAAACGCAAAACTAAACGACTAAATAAGACATCTATTATTTAAAGTTCACCAGTTACACAATAATTATTTACTATTCCGTTGAGTGCCGCGTTTTTGACTATTTTGGTTATTATTGTTGTGATAGTACGTGTCGTTTATTCACGGGCTTGTCTAAAAATTTGCAACTTCCGTCTTCAACAGCGTTAGATAGTGACTAAGCCACGAAACGAATTTTTTTCACTCTCCTGAAGTCCGACCGAAAACAAAACCGAGTTATATTTACCCCGTTCTTTGGACGCGGTACAATTTTTTTTGTTTCTAAGCACATAGCGCGTATAGTATAGTAGTGTATAACCTATACAATATTCCGTATTCGGTTACAAACATCGAATGATGGAACAAGAATTTACAAATCACGCTTAAAATTACCATTTATAATTGCAATTCTAACGTATAAGGCCACTTTTTAAATTTAATAAAAACTAGAATGCAATTAAAAATATAATGTGTACTTGAAAACCCCAAAAATATAAGAATTTGAATTGTTATTTTTTGTGTTAAATATTATAATTTATCATACAACATTAAATTACTATATTATAATAGGTAGGTAATATATATATATATATATATATATATTAAATAATTAAACATTGCTTGAGCGTAAAAATTTCATATAGCGGTGAAATTATTGTTTTTTTTTTGCCGATGTTTTATCTCTAACCGAGGATAAAATTACTTTTTCAATCTTGTCATTCGAAATAGTTTCACTTCCGCAGATACCATAAATTTTAACGAACATCTAAATTAAACTCTGAAAAATGATTTCTTTGTTTCCCTTTAATAGCTTCTCTGTTGTCTCATGCACGATTAATTGAATGTTCTTTATTTTATTCTCTTGATACACCTCATCATCCCAAATGTGTTATGTATAATCTTAATAACATTTCTATTATTTCATTCAATTATATTAGGTATATTATTATAATAAGTTTATCGACGAGTAACGACGATCGCTTAATTTTAAATTAATATAAAAAATACTTTTAAATTAAATAATTTTATATCGCATCAATACGAATGCGGGTAAAAAACCTCTAATATCAACTAATGATTGTTTGATTGTTAATTTAAATTAAATATACTTTTAAATTGACGAACTTATAAAAATTCACATTCATCGAAATTGTCAATCCCAAATGATTAGTATAATGATGTATTAAGTATTACTGATGCTAAAATAAAAAATAATAGTTTGTGAAATTAATCACACTCCATGATTAAAAACCAATATTGTTTAGTTTTATGTTTAATGATTATAAAATCAATTTTTAAYTATCATTATTCAACACATTGCCCAATACATAAAAATTAACAAATTATTATTTTTTCTTTAATCGAAATGGATGAGTTTTACATTTTATGTCTTATAAATTCATATAAATCATCAGTTACCTATAAGTATACTTTTTTTGCCTAATTTTAGCTGATATATAATATAGTACATCAGTACCTACCTACCTGCACTTAGCAGTGAAAGCTAAATGATCGATTGAGGTTCGATAGAGAGAGTCGATCCTGTCAATCTTGATATTATATTATAAATTTACATTGGATATTTTCAGTTTTCGATTATGTGTACACTAGATACTGGTCATTATGACGACCTATAACTGTAAAAGTCAACCTAATATGCAGATAAACATATAATAATTTGAAATATGTGTAATAATAACTGTCTTGGGAGTTGTACCTGCATGCGTTGTCAAATTCCATTATTGAGTAAAGTATTTTTGATTAAGAACGATGGTGATGAATAGATCGAATGTATGTGTACATTGTACAGTATACTTATGTTTATGTATACCTACCAAATCAATATACATTGCTTTTAATGGTGTGTATGAAAATGAAATCGATCTGCTGTAGGAATAACGTTCTACCGGTAATAATTACAGTATGTCAATATCATCGCACAGGTTTTCCGTTTGGCGTAACCGAGGAAAAAACATTTGCTCCGAATCCGTGGTAGGTACTTGAAAAGTCGCAAGGGATACATCAAATGATTCTACATTACCTTTCCCACCTGAGATTTATTATGGTTTATACCTACGGTAAACAAACGGTGTGGTCTATCCGTGTTCGAAGAAAAAAGCGTATATAAATATATGTATACATATGAGCAAGTATTATATGTAGGTACATGGCTATAGCTTCGATCTTCGATTAGTTAATCGTGAGATGTAGATTGTATTTAAAATATTAACAAAAATCACTTCAAAGTTTTGTKGAATTAGGAAAAATAGAAATGATTTAGCCTTATTTATTGCAATGCCTTTTAATTAAAAAGTACGATATTGTTTTACCAAACTAATTATTCTATTATTTTAATTTTTAATTTTTAATCATATAATCTTATTTTTAAATCCGTAGAACTTACTATATAATATACAAAATTACAAAGACAAGATATACACTGTAAACTATAAATTCTTAAACTTATAGAGTTTTGATCGCTACTTTCACTCAAAAAATATGCATATCTTCAATTGTATCAGAAATTGTGTTTTATTTTGAAATATTTGAAATTGCTTCGTAATTATTGTTAATAAAAACTAAAAAATAATGATATAATATAATCGTTTTTCCTGAATTTTGTTTATTTTTATAAACAATMTTAATTGATAAGAAAATATTTAATTTTACTCTTTTGAAAAATGTGTCAATGTACAAAACTGAAGATAGATACGTGTTATCTAAGTAGATCGAACGATACACATTCTTACATATAGATWTAAACATATATAAATTAGGTACCATCAGAAATTTAACAACGTACTCAACCCTTTTCAAGATTTTTTTTTGAATAATTGCCGTAATCTGTTGCTTGAAATAATTATACTAATAAGATTAAAGGTTTTTATATTTATAAATATGACTATTGTATTTTAATTCATTAATATTTATTAGCTTCTAAAAAAATACTTTTATTTATACATTTTTTTTTCTATTAGTAGTTGAGTAAGAAAAAAAATCAGATCTAATTAAAAAAACATAAATATTGATTTCACTTCAATTAAATTACTTCTTYATACAATTGATACTAGTCTAAAATATATTTTATAGCAAATATTTTGAACTTATGGGTATGCACAATTATAATGAGGTAGGCCCATTATCATACAAAAATAAAATATATAGAAATGTATATGTAATATGTACTTATAATATTGTGWACAAATGAGATGTGTGAGATGTGTTTTTGTGTGCAAATAAACTGTAGCTGTCAATTGTATTGATCAATACTTATATAAATATGACAAAATAAATACATACCTGCGTATCAAATGTATATTAATTTTTTTCTTGTTCAATCGATGGCATATATTCACYTTTTTGATTTAAGCTGAAGTAAGGTTGATATTAATGATTTTTACTTGTAGTCACTATATAACAAATTGAAAATAAGGAGGTATTAACTAGAAAATTTACKGAGTATTATATAATATATAATACATTGCTATTATATTATTATAGGTATTATGTAGATTGAGAGAAGAAGACGATCCAATGGTATAGTAATGTGTTTTTTATATGTAACAACGATGAACCGCGGTTGTTGGATGTATTAGGAGATTGTTGCACGGCAGAGTAGTTTTATTATTTTTCGTATACATTTATCGGTCAAGATTTTTAATTGTTATTGCTTTAATGCAAGTATTTTATACTCTTGACGTAGAAAAAAAATATTCTCTATATCGTGAGTCTACAACTTTGTAATACCATATATGGCTTATATAATATAAAATGACTTATGTATAATGTATATCAATATAAAATAATACGACCCATTTCCAACCAAAAATGGAACCACCGAMAATTTGGTATCGAAAATATTTCTTTTTATTCAACTGAAAATTTTTAAATTTAAGGTTGTTAAAATGATCAGAAATAAAGTAATTCTGGTTTAATAAATTTTATTCGAAAAAAAAAAATGATAGAATTTTGTAAAATTATTAATAAAAATAAAAAATCTTGTTATAAATTATAATGTAATGAATAAATTCGTATGCAATGGTTCTTAAATTAAAAAAACTGTTCGTCGATATTTGGTGGACTGTATAAGTATATAAAAACTGGGTTTTTTTTATATTTCTATTAAAATTTAAAAATTTATTAATTATCGAACATTTAACGATAATTTAATTTATTTGTTGACGGACTAAATAACACGCATATGGACACACAGTAAATTACAAAAAAAATAATTTAACATCGATCGCGCCGATATCGACGGAAATAAGATAATATAGCGATAYATGCAAATAAAAATAATAATAATAGCAATAACGACATCAATTATATATAATACACCCACCAACAAAAACATTTCAACATGTATGCATGCAATTAACTTTGTAGGTATATAAGTATATCCAAATATCCAATACACCTTATAAAAAATGAACGTTTTTATACAAATATACTTAAGATTAAATTCTAAAAAAAATTTTACTTTTTAAATGTTATTATGTATTTTGTTMATTTTAAGGTAGGTAGGTACCTAAGTATATGATCAATAGATAAGTATTTATTTTAATTGACTAAATTAATTTCTAATTAAATCTTAAATCCTAGGATATACATACACACATACAAACATACTGTTTAACCAGGAGCTTAATCATTTTTGTTATTTATTTATTAAAGTACGTGTTAACAGTTAAATGTACTAGCAATTATTTTTTTGTATTTTAATTTATTATACCACAAAACTGTAACAATTCCTATGATGCAATAAATATTAGTTATTATGTAATACTGAAATCACCATATTGAGTTTTCATCTAGTCATCATGACGCTTTGATTGAGTCCAGTCATTCACTGCGTTAAATTCAAAATTAATAAACTGTTAAATAATTTAAATACCTAACATATATATATATATATGTGTGTTATATATATAACTATATTTTATTGTTATATTATGTTTTTGTAAGTATTTATCAAATATAAATTGTATTAGTATATTATTTTCCTAATAACTGCTCATTCCACAAGCTATTATAATTAATATTCTGTGAGAATATAAAACTATTAAAACTTCAAAGTACCAGTAATATGCTGTAATTTATGCAGAATTCACGAGTTCCTTTTACATG